GTATACTTTTTAGCTTATCCTACACCGATTAGATTAATGTATCGCGTTATTGTAATGCAGGACACTCGTATTACTCTCGAGTCAGTTGTCTCTCACCTGAGACACGTAACGTGCGCCTCTAGACACACACACACAGTACTTTTCTCTCTACTCTCTCCCTCGAGTAGGTGGTCCAACTCTTTATATATCATTCATGAAATTAGGGAATTAGGTTACCGACCTAATTACCCAACAGTTCAAAAGTATAATGTGATGTTTCTGCAACGCGTGTACTTTTGATTTACTTGCCGTATTTCGCAGTGTTCGTTTATGCAACACGTGCATTTCGGCTGAAACGTCTTTTAGCGTTTCATCATGTTTTGTCCTACATAACAGCACCTTAAATATTCTTACTCAGTCTTTTGAATCTCAGGACTGTCTGGTAACTATACCAATTATACAGATAGTAGTTAGATGGAAAAGGTTACACGAGATAGTAGTTAGATGGAAAAGGTTAAACGAGATAAGTAACGAGATAGAAAATCATCGGTAACATTTGAATAGAAATTGGACGTCAGAACTGTTTAGTATTTACACCAATTACATAAAGAGTGACTAGACAAAAAGGATTACACAATAACGAAATAAAAAATTATCGGTATATCCTGAGTAGAGAATGGACGTCAGAACTGTCTAGTAGCTATATCATTTACATAGACAGTGCTTAGACGTAAAAGATTACATAATAACAAGATGGAAAATCCTGAATAGAAATTGGATATCAGAACTGTCTATCCACTAGATTGTATTAGGACCTTAACTTAGTTTCCGCCCAAAAAATACTGAGAAAAAGCATTTATTGTAAAAAATTTATTTATATTATTTCAAAGAAAGTATTTTCCATCACTTTCTACAACTTTTTGCCATCTTTCTGGCAACTGGGCGATACCATCTCGATAAAACGATGTTTGTTTCGAAGCAATCCATTCGTCCACCCATTCTCGCACTTCTTCAACATTTCGGAAGCGTGTACCACTCAAGCCGTGCTGCATCGATCTGAACAAGTGGTAATCAGAAGGCGCTATGTCTGGTGAGTACGCTGGGTGAGGAAGAGTTTCCCATTCGAGCTGCGTCAGTGTTTCTTTGACGGTTTTTCCAGTGTGTGGCCGAGCGTTATCGTGTAAGAGAATAACTTTGCGCCTGTTACTCGCTATTGCTGGTCTTTTTCGCAACAGCTCATCATTCAATTTGTTCAATTGACATTTGTAGACATCGGCAGTAACAGTTTCGTTTGGTTTCAGCAGTTCGTAGTACAGCACTCCTTGCTGATCCCACCAAATGCAAAGCATTACCTTATGACCGTGGATGTTCCGTTTTGGCTGCGATGTTGATGGTTGTCCTGGGTCTACCCATGATTTTTTGCGTTTGGGATTGTCGTAGTAGATCCACTTTTCATCGCCAGTCACAATACGCCACAGAAAACTCTTCTTTTTTTGCCTGGCAAGCAACGAAACCGTGATATTGAAACGGTTGTGAATGGCACTTTCAGACAATTCATGTGGTACCCATCTTCCTTCCTTTTGGATCTTTCCCATGGCGTGTAAACGTTTGGAAACAGCTGCTTCAGTAACTCCTAGCTCGTTTCCAAGTTCTTGTAACGTTCGAGCCGAGTTTTCATGCAATAATGCTAGCAATTCATCGTCTTGGAATTTTTTTGGCTGTCCTGAGCGTGGTTTGTCATTGACATCAAAATCATTACTTTTGAATCGTCTATACCACTCTTTACATGTTGTATGTGATGGAGCTCGATCACCATAACCTTCTTCAAGTAATCGATGAACTTCTGCTACACTTTTTTTCAAATCAAAATAGTGCAAAAGCACATGTCGAAAAAACACTTTATCGCGTTCCATTTTTCACAAAGCAAAAGAAATTGTTGTTTAGGAAAATAATTGTGTATGCTGACTGAATGTTATCGAGAAATGTCGAAATTAATCATAAACTACCTGTTTCGTTAGTAATGACTACTATAACTGTTTGCATTGCCATCT